AGCTGGCGAATGGTCTGAGTAAATTAAATACCGTGTTTGCCGCCTAGATGCTGGACACTCCAATACCTCAGCGAACTCGTCCCAGGAATTAAGTTAGGCTTTCGCCACTGCTTTTCTTTCCATCTTGCGCGTTTCTCATATGGCATCTGAATTGAAGGATTTTTGCTTCCAGGCTGTTTCTTGAATGTAGCCTTCTTCTCGTTAACTGCCAATTGTACCTTTCATGTTCACCAGCAAGGTTTTTTCTGACCTCCAGGTGGCAGCCCAATCCACACCATTCTGCGGCAGCCCTGAATAGACCCTTCCAATGAACTCGCATTCGGTTTTCATATGAGCGGCCATACGGGATCTGTTCAAGCCATCGTTCGATTTTGCTTGCAAGTTTTGCCCTCCTATCCGTAGAAGAAAATGTTTCCTATGTGATTTTCTTGTTACTTCTGTCAGAATATCCTCACATGGTGCTCCATTTCTCACAGCATACCGTGACAGTATGAAGGCTGATCGGTTGACAGCTTTGCACTACTTCTCTTGGCACGAATATCCATTTCAGAACATCGTAATCAAATACGATAATCTATTCTACCTTCCACTTCCATGCGCAAGCTTCCCTGTACCAGGTACACTAATGCACGCTTCGATGATCGAAGAAAGTGCTCATTATGAAAACCGCAGAAACTTTACTCCGTTATTGTTGAGGTCGCTAGGGTCGTTCTTTCCACTTTTCAGTGTGTACCCCGATATAAGTATTAAATTATCCCATGAGGGACTTCGTGTCGGCATTTCGTACAGAGGTCACTCCATTTTCTGAAAGTAGGAGTCATGTTCTCCCTCTGATAGGCCACAGAACTGTAAAAAGGTCAGCACTTTGGCCTGTGCAGCTATTGTCAGAGGATTGACATCTTTCCGTTGATAGGCTTCCATTCAATGAGTCATTCAGATAGATTGGGTTCTTCAAGAACACCAACCCCGGCTTGAGCGCGCGTTGGAATATGGACACCCGAGTAGCTTCCACCCGCTGAGGTACGGAATTCCGCAGCCTTGGCGTTTCGTTGACGAGAATCTAGCGATGCCGAGTTGGTACCTAATGGCCTCATCGACTAACTCTTGCTATTTGCCTGTGAGTGAGGATAAATTGCAATTTCTAAATGTAAGTTTCCCCTGGCGATGTCGTTCTGTTGAAGCCTTTTCTGGCGTGCTATAATGATATCGCACTGTCTCATCTGTTTAGAACGAGTAGCAACTCTGTTGCTAATTGGCATTTTCGTCGCCTTTTCGAAGACTTTGATAGCAGCTGTTATGCTGCCCCAGAAGGCGATGAGCAGGTTCTGATCACCAAATTTTGGCAGCGTGCATCTGTACCCCCCAAGAGCCTGCGCGGCTCTTGGTATCCTGGGCGACGACCGAGGCGATATAAATTTTGATGACGACAATACCATGAAGGCCAGGTGGCTATGTTTTACGGAAACTTCGCCACGGTCTCCAACCTTCCTCTTTTCTCATCCGGGATTCGGACCGACAACGGCAGAGTTACACATTTTATGGCTCTGATTCGCCTTGACCCTGACAATTGTTGACAATCCAGTGTGGTAGTCCGTACAAAGCAGAAATTTCGTTGCCACCACTGCTGCTTTTCCATAAA